AATGGAATACCCAATCAAAAAAGGAAAAAAAAATTATTTACCCAATCTATTGGAGATCTCACTGTAGAGAGCTTTTAATCATGCATGTTATTACTGGCAAGCTCAACCTGGAAGATATTCTCAGGCCTGAGATTGACTCAAAATTATGATAGCAAAAAAAGAAAAAAAAAATGTTGTTCCTAAACAAGTAACTACATCTGTGAGAAAGAAACATGACATCTGCAATCTGGATGAAAGAAATGCACTACCCACACTCTAATGGCATCCATCACTTCTAGGGGTGTCAATGGGCTGAGCCCCCCTGAGCTCAAGGGCCGAACCGAGCTCGCCCACTAGCCCATATTTTTTTATTTTTTGAAGTGTGACTAATTTTTTGTGACAAGCTGATGAGCACGGTCCACGAGCCACTTTTTTTGGGCTTGGCTTGCGCTCGAGCTCTTCCGAGTGGGCGAGTGAGCCATTGCCACCCCTAATCACTTCCTTCCATAAGTATCCTCTCAAAAAACTGAATACTGAAGTAAATGAAAGAGGAAAAGAGGAGCATGCCCGAATTCTCTAAGGAACTAAATAACATTTTTACAATTGTCTTCTGATAGTCTATCTAAAAACGTAGAGTTTAGCCTACGGCAAGGTTTCCCAAAATTGAGTATTATGGCTAACTCCTCTAACCACATGACGTTATCAACCACCTTATTACCAATAAAACTACATCAATATCTATCTCCCTTCCGCTGAAACAATTCTGAAAAGGGAAATAGTACAATCAAGAACAAAGCCCAATCTATAAGAAACTTGGTAAAAAAACCTGTAGAATCACAAGAATAAGCCCTCGTTTGGCTTCTATTACTTAAAACTCATTTTTTTCTAAACCTATTTTCAACACATATTTCATAGGACCCACAACTTTTACCAACGTTTCAACTACACATTTCATCTTCTATCAAAATCTACTAAAAATTAGATTTTTTTTTCCCAAACTAAACGGGGGCTGGTAGTGTAAAGACAACCTAGCCAAATTAATTCTCCTCACAACAGTTCAACCTTGTGTATAAAAAGCCAAAGCAAAGCAATATAATCGACTTTGCTCCAATCTTCTTCAAATGATTTGTCTAACCACAAGGATGTCCGTCTATTCCTCCCAAAAATCATAGGGCAATAAAATCAATCCTCAGAAAATATCTTTCCACCGAATCTAGAGTTTTACTTAACAAAGGCTCTCATATCTCTTCTAATAGTTGTCCAACTCTAATTACCACTCAAAATCTATCAAGACAATGCAGATTGAGCAGTAGCCAACTGAATAACATCAAAACCCCCCAAAAGGACTTGATAGGTAGCTTAAATCACACAATTCTTCTAGAAACTAGACCATTTCCTCACGCTACTAACATCGACACATGATACGGACACGCCAACACATGATTTTTCAAAAACATAGGATATAGACACGTCTAGAACACGTTAACTTGAACTCATTAAAAAATTTTGATTAATATATTCTATCTTTATGCTTATACTTCTTAACTTTTAATAAAATCAAGGGAAAATTGCAACAGTTGTCCCTCACCTTTCACTTTTTTGTAGACTTCACCCTAACCTTCACTTTGTGCCACCCACATATCCAAACATTTCAAAAATATGCACCCGGGGTCCAAATTATCCATTTGACCGTCCAGAAAAATAAAAATTTGACCAATTTTTACCAAATTGAAAATGGTAAAATGGCATATTTACATTTTTCCAAATATTATTAACAATTAGAATAATAAAACAAAAAACCAAAAAAAAAGAGAAGAAATCAGCCCTACCCACCCCCACCCATGTTCATCATCTTCTCTCTCTCCCAAGCGGCCAAGCCCACTGAATCCTCTCCTCCACTTACACTTGCCCACCTACATTTGCAGTAGCAGAAATCCAGAAATCAAATCTGGAGTGATATTTTGCCAATTCTTTGCCAAATCTAATATTGAAGAAATCCGAAAATCATGTCTGGAGTGAAATCTAATTTTTGCCAATTCTACCAACCTGATTTTTCTTTGAGACCCATCAAAAAACTTCAATATTTGGTACCCATTTTTGCCCGTGCAAATGAGGGGTCGAGAGTAACTGCTGCATTCACATCGAAGGATGGGAAACCCTCTGAAAGTCCTGTGAGTGTTGGGGAGGATCTAGGTTCCATTGGACCTCCATCACTCGCCAAAGCTCCAGAGCCGACTACGATAGAGGTGGTGGAGACTGCGAATAAGGGCCTCTATGTCGACCTCCTTTTTGAGGTCGGGAGGGGACTTGCGTTTGTGGTGGTGCTGGTAGGAAGGTGCATCAGAGAGTTCAATGGTGGTTTGTTTTGGGTGTGGGCAGAGGACATGGAGGTGAGAGGCAGATGTTGATATCATATCAGTAACGATTTTCCTACAACGGTGCCGTTTCTTTTGTGGGGAGGGCCCCAGGTTGGGATCAGGCAAGAGGTTGGGTTGGTTTGTTTTGGTTTGGTTTGGTGTGGTGTGGTGTGGTGTGGTGTGGTGTGGTGTGGTGGGGTGGCAGTTGATTTTGGTTTGATGGAGACGGCAGGTGGGGGTGGCGACGACGATGGTGGGTTGATTTCTAGCTTGGTTTAGTTGGGGTGGGTTGGTGAAGAAGGTGAATAGTGATTTTCATTTTTGAAAGTTGACCATGATCCTCAATATCAAACCCCAAAGTTGCCCAGTATCAACCCAATATTTACACTAGTATTAATTCATTACAATTGAGAAAACGGAAAAATAACTTTCAGATAGTGATGCTAATCCTCATTCCATTAAACACTTATCTTAATGCAACATCATCTCTCATTAACCACGAGTATTTCCAACTCATCCAGAAACTATCTTCGTATCTATTAAAACAAACACCGTCCATTTCTCATCAAAATGGACCTACATTTATCTCTGAGTCAAAAAAATATTAAACGCAACTAGCAATAGAAATGAGTAATATAAGTTTTAATATACCCAGATTGTGATAGCTCATAATGCGCAAATTTATTAAAGTAATGAACAGATTCTACGACAACCTAGCATGTATTCCATATTTTTTCCCCTAGGAGTTATATTTACCAAGGCAAATTAGCTCTAATAACATTTTGCTTCTTTTATGGTCAAGAACTTTAATAGTAATTAGTAAAATCAAGCTACATAAATGGACAGTAATCCCAGAAAAGGGATTTATACTGGAATGTATCATTTAAAAGAGGTTCCAGGCATCCAGCAATCGTATTGTATTCAAAGAAAATGTTGACGCAACCATCGGATTCTTTTTTCCGACATTTGGCACCGCCCAAGTATTCCAAAAAATAAAAAATCCACCTCCGCCCAAAATAAATAAATAAAAGGTTTAACCTTTAGTCTTACTAAAGATGGTGTTTAGAGGATGAACCGATTCAAATCCACAAGGACATAGTCAATAAACAAAACAGAGCCAAGAATATCCGTATACACACAATATACATGTATAAATAGTCATACCTGGATATGGGGTAACGCCTCAGTTGCCGAAGAACCCATGAATAAACTTTTTCCTTCTATTTCCTTCAACACAGATGATCGTAACCCATAAAAAACAGTGCAAAATAATATATGAAAAAAGTTAATATTGCCTTTGTTACTAATTTGGTGCACAACTCCAGGGTATTATGAAGGGAGACGCTGATAATAAGCAGCAGAAAAAACGATTTCAAGAATAAAACTAGATAAGCACAATACCTTCGTCTGTGATGTGTATGTGTATATATATGTATTGGTGATGGTGGAACTTCGGATTTTACAGAAAAAATAAAATTGAATTTTGGAGAGAGATTTTCTAATGGACAATTACGGGTCCGTTGATTTTGGGTATGCAATCTTATAAGTTGAGGACGCAGAACCAAAATTTGAAGGCTGAGGACTCAAAACTGCAATAATTGGAAGGTAGGGAGTTCAAACCCTAGCTTTTCCAAATTATAAATAATATAAATGTTGTAAATTAATTAAGATAAAAATAAAAGGAATTACTAAGACAAGCCCTTTTTTTTTTTTTTTCAGGAATTCTTAAAAATCCTATTTATAGGCGAATAGCCCTATACAAGTATTCCCATAGTTACAATATAAATAACAATTTTTTTATTAAATATATATAAAAACTAATATATCCAAAAATGTTTGGACACAAAATACTTTTCCTTTTTGCCTAAGGAAAACACTTCTCTAATCCATTAAAATGATGAGAATAATTTTTCATATGTTCCGACATCTTTCCTTTCAATTAGCGTTGGCATTATTAGTGTTTTAAGGACCGAAAAATTGCTCATATGAAGGAAAATTTGAGTTACGGTTCTCAATCTATGCGAATTATAATTAATCTATAAGTCATTTTTGGTTATGTTTAGATCTTATACATATAAACGTATTATTTACAATTTCCATGGCTTTTGACTATATATAAGGATGGCAAATGTCCAAATTCATCACGTCTCGTTCCATGCTGTCCAGTGTTGTCCTAACTTGTATGAGACGAGACTCTGTAATTAATCTAGAATCAAAACAGTTATAAGTAATATGATATCTTATCGACCTTTCTAAAGTCCCGAATGGGAACGACGGATGGGAAGGGCCACCTGACTCCATCCCGCCCATTTACCATCCCAAGCTATATAACCCAAGTATGTGTAAGAGAATTCAAAGGCTTACCACAAACTTCTCAAGCACTATTTGCAAATCCCATGCAGATATCAAAGAGATGACATTGTCAACTTATCTCTACATTTTACCATTTGTCAAACTTTTGGACCCTCATTACACAACACACTATTCTTGGCAGCCCTTTGTGTCCCTGTGTCCCTTGCATGCCACAAGATTTCATTTCATCTCTCCTGCATTCTGGATCTGTCCACATACAACACTTTAGTTCTCATTTCTAGGTGTCTTTCGACTGGGCGTGCACCCGCAAGTGCGCGCACCGCATCACCACCACAACAGTGCTATGCCACGATGGCCGATGTAAACAACACTAATATTCTCTCCGGCTCTGTGCACTCTCATCGTCTCCTTCTCCTGCTCTTCATTATTTTCTTGCATCTTGTGGCCTCTTCGTGTAAGTCCGATGCAGAAATTCTTCTCAAGTTCAAGACATCCCTCGAGGTTAACAACGGTGCATTATCCAATTGGGATCCCACCACACCACCATGCAATGGGGATAAAGAGAATTGGGAAGGTGTTCTTTGTGATCATGGGACTGTTTGGGGACTTAAGCTTGAGAATATAGGATTAAGGGGTAACATTGATGTCGATACCCTATCCGAATTAACAAATTTGAGGGCAATTAGCTTGATGAACAATAATTTCGATGGGTCATTGCCAAATTTGTCTAAATTGGGTGCCCTCAAAACCATTTATTTGTCAAATAATAAGTTTTCGGGGGGGATTCCTGAAAACTTGTTTGATGCCACACTATCACTCAAGAAAATTCATTTGTCGCAAAATAAGTTCTCGGGTCAAATTCCGGTATCTCTTACGATATTGCCTAAGTTGATGGAGTTGATGCTTGAAGACAATGAGTTTGAAGGTCTAATACCTGAATTTCATCAGGACAGATTGAAATTGTTTAATGTATCTAACAATCAATTGGAGGGTGAAATCCCCAGCAGCCTCAGTCAGATGAATGCTACAGCATTTTATGGTCTGTTTTCTTGAATACATACATGTACACGTCCTCTTGGGATTTATTTTTCCCATCAAAACATAACACGCGCGCAATTTCAAAGTTACGGAATATGAGTGTTAAGTGTTCTAGCATTACTATTTAAAATTGTATAGTGAAAATGGCAGATATATTATGAGCGTTAACTAATTCCCTCTCTGCCAACAGGAAACAAAGATCTGTGTGGCGCGCCATTAGAATCATGTTCGTCCCCAGCAAAACTCTCTATTGGAACAATTATCCTTGTTTCCATACTCGTGGCCGCAGCAATAGCAGCACTAATTGCAGTTGTCGTAATTCTTTCCCGGCATAAACAAACATTAGGACGAGAAGAGGGGAATGCTCCCCCGGGACAAAGGAAACTAACCTTGGCCGCCGATTTAGACAAAATGGAACAAGGGTCAGAAAACTCTGCACACAGCAAGAAATCTGACCAGAATGTGAAGCTTACTTTCTTGAAGGACGATCAAATACATTTCGACATGACAACTCTGCTGAAGTCCTCGGCCGAGATATTAGGCAGCGGAGTTTTTGGGTCATCTTACAAAGCCGCTCTTAATGCTGACCAAGTTATGGTTGTGAAAAGATTTAGGCATACGAATAACGTTGGAAAAAGAGACTTTCATGAACATATGAGAAGGTTAGGCAGGTTGAGCCACCAGAATCTGCTTCTGGTCGTTGCTTTCTATTACCGGAAAGAGGAGAAGCTCTTGGTTTTCGATTACATTGAAAATTTCAGCCTAGCTTTCCATCTCCACGGTATTTCGAGTCTTCTAATTGTCGAAGTTAAAATGTAAATGATAAACACATGATCTTCTCTAAGAGTTTAAGCGGTTAGACCAAATGGTTCATGTCTTCCACTTGGAAAAAATGAATTTCACTTGCTCATGAGGAGGCGTGTTAAATATAAAATTTAAATAATATACATGTAGTTCTCTCTAAGAGCTTAAATTGTTAGATGAAGTGGTTCAACAATTACAACGTTATTCATCATGCGTGCACCTAGGATATGTGATCACATTTTGCAAATCTTAGTGCGTAACAGATTTTGCTCTTAACTCTGGATTGGACACGAGTGGATTAAGTAGGAGTCACGAGACAAAATCAGTCAGTTTTTCCCTTCAACCTGTCCAAATCCAATATACCAAACATGTCATAAATATATTTCATCTTCACTTATTCCATTAGTCTAACTAATGAGTTTTTTGTTCTAGGTAATCGAACTCGTGGCCATCCACGCCTCGACTGGCCAGCCCGGTTGAAGATTATCAAAGGAGTATCTGAAGGCCTTTTGTACCTCCACAATGAACTCCCAAGCCTAATGGCATCACATGGTCACCTAAAGTCCTCAAATGTACTTCTTGACAAATCCTACAAACCCCTTCTCACAGACTATGCATTGATTCCAGTAGTCAATAAAGAACATGCACAGGACCACATGACAGCATACAAGTCACCCGAATTCAGGCAGAGTCGACGGATCATGCGAAAGACCGACGTGTGGACCCTTGGAATACTAATTCTTGAGACCCTCACAGGGAAAATCCCGTCAAACTTCTTGCAACAAGGCAAGGAAAGCAACGTTGATTTGGTGACATGGGTCGAGTCCCGGCTGGCCGGGGACGACAACAGCAATTATAACATTGATCAAGTGTTCGATAAAGACATAGCAGGAACAAGAAATAGCGAAGGCGAAATGATGAAGCTATTGAAGATAGGATTACATTGTTGCGAGGCAGATTTGGATTCGAGATGCAATATAAAAGAGGTTGTTGAAAAGATTGAGGAAGTTAAGGAGAAGGATACAGATGAAGATTTTTATTCTTCCTATACAAGTGAAGGTGATATGAGGTCTTCAAGAGGATTGTCTGATGATTTCTTATTTATCAATACTGGTTGAAATTAGGTAGGAAAGAATCTCTACTTTTTTTTCCTTTAATTATAATTGGAATGATCATGACATATTTTCATTGGAATTATAAGCTGCATTCATTAATCTGGTGCTGTTTAAGTTTCTTGATCTAGTGATACTTGAGTTCACCTCTATTTCATTAAGTTTTATCCAGTCTCAGGGTTGTTTTATCAATAGAAACTTGCCGAAAATACTAGCATACATGTGTTTGGTACTGCATACTTCCACTCTTCAATAGTTTTGAATCATTTTCTTGAAGCTCATCATAACGTGGAACATTGTTTGACATCTACAGTTGTTTCTCCTCGACACATTATCAAGAACTGCTTGTTACAACATTCAAATTTTTGTTTCAAAATTCATATTGATTAAATTATTTACTGAGAAACAAAAACATTTTTAGATACAATGAGAACTATCTGCAAAAAAATTATATTTTTGATTTGCCACAATCAAAACGAGATAATAAAAAGAGTGGCAACTTAAAGCTTTTCAACGAGGGTATTTTAGAAATTTAGACATGTTAGGCTAAGTGTGTCAGTTTTACTTTTAAGTAATTTGAATTTGTCAAACATGTTTTACTTAAAAAGTTTTTTAATTTTTTTGGTAAAGGGCATTTTTGAAATTCTAGCAAGGCTTAGTATTTATTTGGTAACTCTTAAACTTTTTAATCAGGAGATATTAGAAGGAAATGAAATACAATGTTTATCCAAACTTGTTTCTCGACCTAAGTAATGATTTGAGTGAAGTCTCATTTGTTCGAAACACGAGACACATTATCTTTTCATTTGTGCTGGTACGAACAATCAAGCGGAGTGGTGAACCGTTGTTTAACTATTGTCAAGGAATGATACATAAATAACTTTACACGGTATAGACAATTTTTCTTTTGAAATTTAAATCGTATTTGAAAAATGAACAAATAAGTAAAAAGAAAAAATCATAGCACAAAAATGAAATATTTTAATTCCTGCGCCGCTTCTACCCCATTTATCCCGATTACAAATTTTGTTTTCAATGAATCTCCTACATTCAAATTTCTGTATAACATTAACATTGTACCATAGAATCATGATCTAATTATCAAAGTCAAACTCCTTCGATAGTCAAAGTAAGGCAAAATGACAACAAATCCTAAGAATAAGGGATGGGTTTTTTGACAACATATATCCCACGTTTGTAGGAAAAACAAAGGACCTAACAAACTTGTAATAAAAATATTCATCTAGAATTTGTGAATAACAAAGAATCTGTCAAATCTCCAATCTAATAGCCTCTCAAACATTGGAGAGATTTCTGCATTGGAGTCAAAATTAATTTTCTAAAAAAAGTTCAATATCTTCGTTTTCTGTGAATTCCCTTTGCCTCTAAATGACGAGCCAAAGAGGGCACGTAGACAAAAGCAAAGAGATGGTGGCAGTGGCAATTGACAAGGACAAAGGGAGCCAAGCTGCATTGAAATGGGCTTGTGATCATCTTCTTGGAAAAGGCCAAAGGGTCACCCTCATCCATGTCAAACTCAAGCCAAGTAATGTTATCTATCTCGTGCTTTGCATTTCTTCCCTGCGCGATTGAAGATCGTCAATATGTGGAAAACTTGGCTCGTTTTTGTTAACAATGAGAAAATGAAGAAATTAAGTTAATGATCATCATAATACTAAACCCTCAAAAGTGCATGATCATGTTTTCATTTTGACAGTACATCAATGTATTTGAAGTTTCTTGCGAAGTCAGGTCGGGTCGGTTTCTTTCAAGTGGAAATAAAATACTAATACAAGCATTGCACTTTGTTATGAATAATAAGTATTCTACCTATGCACCTCCGTTTCTTGCCGTTGCTCTTCATTTTGCTGGTCGGGATTAACCTTGTCAGCTCCAACTCCATCTAATGTACTCATTTTCCATGCATCTCCCCAATTGTCTTCCCTGCATGAATAAAGATTGCGAATTTTGTCATCTATATGGAAAAATTTACGTGTTTTTGTTCGACTATGAAAAATAAAGAAATTGAGCTAATGGCAATAAACCCCAAAGATGCATGCTGATGTTTTAGTTGCAAAAGTTCGCACGAGTTTCTTTGGATCGCATGCGTTACATGAGTCAATGATAAACATGTTAGACTTTGACCATTTTAGATTTTTGTTTTTTTTTGTTTATGCTGGGGTTGGGGTATCCTGATATGGACATTAGTGCTCGTGAAAATTGGGCTTTTAATTGTCATTCGACATGCTCGTGAAAATTTAATTGTGAAAGTCTCATGGAATAATCAACTTGCCTGATGAACACAATGTCGTTGATAGTTGAATGTGTAAAATCCTTCATTGCATCTGCCAACATTTTTGCGGTATTGAACCATGCTATACCTTCGTGCATATTCCTCCCTCAAAATCATATCTATTCTCTAATGATTCAGTGGGAAGTCACATTGCTTTTTCCGACGATGATGACATAAAATCATATAAGGCCTGCCAAATTGATAGTCAAACCAAGGAGTTTTTCCTTCCCTTCCGTTGCTTCTGCACCCGTAAGGATGTAAGTACTGTCGACTTTATCAAAGTTGTACTTTCGATTTTGTCTGTAAATGGTCAGATGCTTCTCCTGTCATTTGATAAAAATAAAGGAATTCACTTATGCTAATCGGGGAAGCCTTTGAGTAAATTTGCCACAGATACAAGTTAATGAAGTCTTACTTGAAGACACTGATGTAGCAAGAGCCCTCTGCGACTATGTTAAGCACAACTTGATGGAGAATTTGGTGATAGGTGCCACTTCAAGGGGTGGCTTTGCTAGGTAATTACCTGAAGTTTATGAGCACTGTCACTATCAAAAATGGCAAAAATACCTTATAAATTTCTGGCACACAAGATTCAAGAGTGCAGATTTAGCGACCTACATTTCCAAGGAGACACCTGAATTCTGCAATGTATACATCATCTCTAAAGGGAAAATATCATCCATCAGATCAGCCACCATTACAGCCCTGAATCAAACTCCTCACCCCGTGCAGAATCAAACTAACCCTCTTCCTGTTCCAATGGATGGGCATTTCTCCCAAGGCACTGAACATGAGATATTTGTTTAAATCTACTTTTGTCCATTCCTTTACCCAGATTTGATGTTGCAAAAGAAAACTGAGTTTCTCTATCTCAACAGGTAATTCTGTCAACAGGCCATCATTTGTACCTAGATCCTCAACTGATAACACAGATTTAATAAAGTAAGCCACTGTTACATTTACACTATCACACATATCCAATATGCATTATACACTTCCTATATGTTGCTTTATTAGAAAGGATATTGGACCTAACTTAACCTAACAAAACCGGCTTGTTAGGAGAGGATTGCCCTCACCTTATAAAGTGGATCATGTAAATATCACCAGCCAATGTGGGACTCTAATACGCCCCCTCACGCACAGCGTGAACCATGCCAAACAATTGTGAACAAATCGATATTGGGTGCACCCAACATTGTAAAACTGGGCCTGCTCTGATACCATATTAGAAAAGATATTGGGTCTAACTCAACCTAACAAAATCGGCTTGTTAGAGGAGGATTGCCCTCACCTTATAAAGTGGATCGTGTAAATATCACCAGCTAATGTGGGACTCTAATATGCTTTATGCCAAAGCAATTTGAATTGTCATTTTTGGTTGTTTGTAAACAATATATCCACGAAACAAAAAAATAAACAAACAATTTACTTTTCAGTTGACGGAAAGTAAAGCCATAAAACTTAAAATTATGGAACTGATAAACATTACTACTTACGCAGATCACCATTTACTAGAGGGAAAACATCAAACAGGTCATATGGAGAATGCACAATCCCAGATTCTGATATATCATTTGTAAGCTCTGGTAGACCAAGCATTGATCGCATAATCCCATCATTTGACAACCAGGATATGAATCTTGGCTTCCGTCTTTCAAACATCTCCGAAAAAGATCGAGTAAGTTTTGGATCTCCATTCTCTGGAGCCATGTCATCTGATGCAAATAGTTTCGGAATCTTCTCGTCCGGCTCACAGGGAAGTGGAATTTTTTCATGGTCAGGATCCCAAAATCTGGTAAGCACATGAAGACCGCAATAAGAAATTGTTAAAATGAAGATAATATAAAAGCATAAAAATCATTAATATCATCAGCAATAGTGTGGATCATTAGCTTGCTTCATTCACTTCATAGTTTATCTTGAGACCCAACAGTCCAAAATACAATGCACAAGGTTTTCTTCGGGTTTAAATGTAAAGAATAAATTACTAGCTATCTCCTCCCACCTTTCTAAGCTTTACCCAGAAACTGAATGGTCTTGAAAGTTGAAATGCTTGAAAACTTAATGACTGCAGTCTACATAAAGCTATGAAACAGGGACACTCTTACTAGGGTGGCATGTCCATGTCCGACATGTCACATGTGTCATGTCATGCCGGACACCGACTCTCCTTGAACACTCTAGGACATATGTCTGATAAGCTACATGTTGTGTCATAATTTTTATATATTTTCTAAATCTTCGATGTTCGAGGTATACTTTAAGGACACTCATAGGGCAAGTGTCCTACATGCCATGTATCCTTTATTAAAAAGTAAAAAATTAAGATATAATATATAAAGTTTAAAATAATTTTAAAATTGACGCGTCCGTGTCCTACTTTTCTTAAAAATCATGAGTCGTGTCCATGTTCATGCCCCGTGCCTGTGCTTCTTAGACATACTTGATTCTAGCTGTGTGTAAATAATTCGTGTAAGAGTACTTGATATTTATCACTTACCGACGTGGCAGAGCACTCATGTAAAGTATTTTTGCAAATTTGTAGGATGAAGTAGAAGCAGAAATGAGAAGGCTCAAGCAGGAGCTCAAACAGACGATGGACATGTACAGCTCAGCCTGCAAGGAAGCACTCACAGCAAAACAGAAAGTAAGTTTTAACGCTTTAAGATTCCACTTCTCAGAGAGCATCATCTATGATTGCACTAATGAAATACTGAATAAGATCAAATCAGAAACTCATCAAATGTATTAGTCATAAGTTGAATATAAACACAAGAATTTGAAAACTCTTTCTTAGGCAATGGAACTTCACCACTGGAAAGTAGAAGAGCAACGGAGACTAGACGAGGTGCGACTAGCTGAGGAAGAAGCATTAGCAATTGCAGAGAAAGAAAAAGCAAAATGCATGGCAGCTATTGAGAAAGCTGAAGCAGCTCAGAGAATAGCTGAACTTGAAGCACAGAAGAGAATCAATGCTGAGATGAAAGCACTCAGAGAAGCAGAGGAGAAGAAGATGGTGTTGGATAAGCTAGCACTAAGTGATGTAAGATATCATAAATACTCGATAGGGGTGATAGAAGCAGCAACAGAGTATTTTTCAGAAACTCGCAAAATTGGGGAAGGTTAAATACTCGATAGGGGAGATAGAAGCAGCAACAGAGTATTTTTCAGAAACTCGCAAAATTGGGGAAGGCGGATATGGACCAGTCTATAAATGTTATCTAGATCATACACAAGTTGCAGTTAAGGTTCTACGTTCTGATGCAGCTCAAGGAAAATCACAGTTTCAGCAAGAGGTGTGAAACCACCAAATAATCAATTTAACAGAGAAATCTGAATCCCAATTGTGCAATATAACCTTAGCAACATATGGTAAAAGGGTGACCGGTGACAAAATAGGTTCACAACTACATAATACATCTCATAGAATTCCATTTTCTTTTTCTGTACACAGAAATCAAGTTAAACTAACAGAAGTAGAGGACCATTTCTTTTCTGTAACTAAAGTACAAAAACTCCATGTCACTTGCAAGAAAATTCAAGAAAAATTAGAGTCTTATGCACTGAAAACAGTTTCAATTGCAAAAATGAAATGTGCATTATAATGCTAGTATATTGCTTATAACTCCCTCTCAAGTTTTTGGCCAATATAATGCAGATTGAAGTTCTAAGTTGCATTCGGCATCCAAACATGGTTCTCCTCCTCGGAGCATGCCCCGAGTATGGTTGCCTAGTATATGAATACATGGCCAATGGGAGCTTAGATGATCGTCTCTTTCGGCGAGGAAACACTCCAGTGCTACCTTGGCAACTCAGGTTCCGAATTGCTGCAGAAATCGGCACAGGACTCCTTTTCCTCCACCAGGCCAAGCCAGAACCACTAGTACACAGAGACCTGAAGCCAGGCAACATTTTGCTTGACCGCAACTTTGTAAGCAAGATCAGTGATGTTGGCTTAGCTAGGCTTGTCCCTCCCTCAGTTGCTGACTCTGTTACACAATATCGCATGACATCAGCAGCCGGAACTTTCTGTTACATAGACCCTGAATATCAGCAAACAGGCATGCTCGGTAAAAAGTCTGACGTTTACTCACTTGGAGTTATGCTGCTTCAAATAATAACAGCCAAGTCCCCAATGGGTCTGACTCATCATGTTGAGATGGCCATTGAGAGGGGGACTTTCGTTGAGACGCTCGATCCAGAAGTTCCTGATTGGCCAGTAGAAGAGGCCTTGAAATTTGCCAAGCTGGCACTTAGGTGCACAGAATTGAGGCGTAGAGAAAGACCAGAACTTGGCAATGTGGTATTACCTGAGCTAAACAGGTTGAGAGCACTAGCAGAAGAAACATGTCAGTATCCCAGTGACTATCAATCCAAAGACCTCGCCAAGTCAGTCCCAGTTTAATTCTCATGTGAGTTGATCATAAGCATAAGCTATGGTGTTTCTAACCTAATAAATAGAAAATATTAGCGTTTTAGTATGTAATTAATAGTATGTTTAGTAGCGCTTGTAAGTTGTGGGTCCTACAAAACGTGTGGATAAAAGGTGGGTAGAAGTTGTGGGTCAACCTTTATGAATAGCCAGGGAAAATATATTCTACAAACAAAGTCCTCGGAATAAGTAGTCATCACTGACACTGCAGACCGATAATGTTCAAATCCTGATAAAGCATATGCTAGCTAGTTACTACTAAGACCTTTCCAATCTATGAACACGTAACAAGCTGTAGAACCTTTTTTGCAGGTGAGTAATCCACCAATGCAGTGCTCTAATTATGAAAGCACAAAGAACCGTTCAAGCATGTGATACAGGTCAGATAGAAAATCAACTGTAGGTTGAAAATCGCACTAAATTTTGAAGGTGGAACTGGTGAAAGGAACAGATACCATGAAGGTTGATGACCAAGCTAATACTTAGTGCTACTAAATTATTTTCAACTGCACATCGTATCAAAGTTCAATAAAATCCTTTTATAATGAACTAAGAAGTCAAGAAATTAAAATCAGTAGTCCAATAAACAGATGACAAAATTCTACTCATATCTGATATATGTCAACTTTTTTATGCATACAATCAAAATGAATTGCTTTCTAATAATCCTTTAAGAAGAACATATCGTTCTGTGTGTATCATCCTCGCAAAGTAGTTAACTATTTACCCACTAGGCCAGGGGATAGCAATTTAGAAATTTTGTTTTGGAAGGACATTCAGCTTTTCAAACTTTAACCATTACAACTCAGGAGAGGTTAGAGAAACAAAGAGGCCAAGAGGGGGAAGTTATTGTTTATCCTTGGCCCATCCAGTAGGCTCGTATCAAGCTATCAGCTATTTTTTAATAATTACATAATAATGCAAAATATATAGCTGAATTCTGATAAGTCATTCGGAACTAAAAAGATAAAAGTAAAAGGATGTTCCTAAATAAATTTTCAGGTTCTGGAAAAAGTTTACTCAATGCAATGTCAAAACCACAGGATGTCACTTTGAAGTAAGGAGTGCTAAAGGGTCGGGTTTTATGGTACTGTTTTATTGGTACTCATTCTTTAGTTTGGTTTCATATAAGGTCTCATAAACTCTGCATGCAGATTCTAGCGTACAAATAAACAGATTTTTAACCAAGATAAACCGACTCCCACCTTCTATACTTTATCAGGCGGGAGTATTGACAGTAAACAACATTAAGGCCTGTTTGATCACCCTCATTTTCCATGGAACTAGGAAATTTTTTTCCATTTTCTCAAAAGTTGGTTGTTTGATAGCCAATAATTTCCCAAGAATTCATTTTCCTTTGGTCATCCTCACGTGCCCACTTTCCTGGTTTTTAAGGAATTTGCTTTCCTTTAGGTTTGGGTGGAAATCTGTTTTCCATTTTTTTTTTTTTTTTGGCAATTGGAACAAATTCCAAACCCAATGGTAAAAAAATCTATTCATTTAATTGACAATTTGCATGAAAAACAAAGCCAAACGAACACAAAAGATATGAATTCCTGGGAAATTATTGGCTATCCAAACAAATTCTATCCCCAATTCTAATAAATTTTATCCATTTAATTGGCAATTTCCATGAAAAACAAAGACAAACGGACAAGGTGAAAAATTATATCAATCAAACACAATTAATTACAATTCCCAGTAAAACAAATTCTAGGCAATTCAATTTCCTGAAATTTATTTTCTTTCCACCAATTTTCCATATTTGCAATCAAACGGACACTAAGTGACAATGAATGTGCCAGAGTCAAATGAAATGTAGGTTGAACGAGTGATCTTATTCAGCTGCTCCAAGAATTTATGATAAGAGGGTAGAAATAATATAAAGAACTCACTCAAGAGAACATTGATTTGACATGTTGTGATCCATTGCTATCTATGATTTTTTTTATGAGGGAAACAAAATTGAATCTTTAGCATAGAAATGTGTAGATAGATGGTGATAATATGCATATGTGTACGTTTTAAGCACCAGGAGCATAAAGCTTCAGTATCTTCCGTGCAAAAAGCTCTGTCATCCCCACAATTCCTCTGTCAAAAGATACCAATTCATTAAACATCAGTTTCAATTCTGACGCCACATTTTTAAAAATATTTAATCAATTCTCTACTCTTCTTGGAGCTATTAGTAGTTCACCTTGCCAGGCAAAACGTGGTTGCGGGAAACCACTTTTGTGGGCAATTGTACTGAAATTCTTCCATTTCAAAGTCTTCTTGAAAGGAGGAAATGCAGACACCGATTGCAGAACTTCCATTCTTGGTGGAGAGAAATATGATGAAGTGTTGGGCCTGATAAAATATATAGAGTTATTTGGGCCTAGTTTGGAATTGGGCCAAGCCTGTTAAGGCCCAGACTATCTGGATCCAACCCATTAATGAAATGTTTCTTAAATTTGACCCAAAGTTGAAATTTTATTGTTGGACTTGAAGTCCAATAATCCAATTTACTCTTGCGTATCGAACCTACTCTATAGTCTGAGGTATGTATTGGGGAATAATGCCTCTTTAGTCTTTAGTGAAAATTACTAATCACTATTAGTGGCTATCAAAGAAAGGGAATATTTTGTGCTAGGGAAAGTTAGGGGTGGCAAAATGGCCAAATAGCTCGTCGACTCGTCAAAGCTCGGTCCATGGATAGCTCGTTTCGTGACAAGCCTCAAGTTGAGCAGGGGGTTCGTTTGACAAGTAACGCTCGACTCGTCGAGCTCGCGAACGGTTCATGGGCCATGCTCGTGGGCTCATAAAAAATGTGAATAGAAAAGTCAAAAAAAAAAAAAAATTTACTCTGAGCTCGAGTTTGAACACGGCTTGTCACTTTAACGAACCAGCTCGTGGGTAGATGGGCTGAGCCCTACCACCTCTAGGGAAAGTTGTAATACAAAATGTATTCGGTTTCCTATTGATTAAACATTATACTATCTTATTATCATGACGATATATAAAAAATTATTGTATCTTTCATGTCTCCATTTGGAATGCATTTGTAAACAGATTAATTTCTTAATAAATATAAATGAGCGGTGAATAAGCCAATAATACTTTTGAGTCCATTGAAATATATTGTTTAAAAAGAAACTTAAACGTTCATAATTTAATTTAACCATTTGTAAATTGATTTATATAATTTGCCAAAAGAGGCTTAATCATTTCAAAACAACATACTAAGCCCCTGTTTGGTTTTAATTTAAAAATAAAAAATCAGATTTTTAGTATATTTTGATAAAAATTAATTAAATATACGGTTGAAAAATTGATAAAAATTGTGAATTCTATACAAATGTACAACTTTAATTTTAATTATTTTTTTAACTGAACAAAACAAGGACTAAATCATATCTAAAGAGATATGTATTACAAATTTTGTAGCATTATTACTGTAAGGAGAGGGATAAAGCATATAGTACAAAGTAATGATCAATCAAAGAGATGATCAAAAGTCAATGATGGGCAATTGATTTAGCATGTTTGTGAATAGAGTGACAAAAGCCAAAAATATGGGGTCCTTGGAATTGATATTTAGAAAGCTAAGCATTAAGGGACTAAATGATTCTTTTGGACCACCAATTTCAATGGTCCTCCTACTTCTATAGATGCCAACTCTCGTGCTTGATTACATGTGCCCATTCTCCATCATGCAATGTCTCCTTTCTTTTCATCGCTGTTTGATGCACATTATTGAGAGGAAAATACATTTTAAATAGTGATTTGATGAAAAATATGTGGTTAAAAAATAAAAAAAATAATTTTATTTGTGTGTAATATTGTTTTATTGAAAAATGTCTGGTTGAAAATAAGTTTTGAAAAAATGAATTTTTGTAAGAATATTGATCAAATAGGGCGTCAATATGTACACATACTAGTCGTAGTCATCGTGCAACGCATGTCATTTTTTAATTTTTTTTTCTTTTAAGAATCTCGTAAAAATGTTTTTTTTCCTTAGTTAATGGAAGATTAATAATATTTCTTTTTGAGTACAATATAATTTTAATACTTATTTGAAATAAAAACATATCTTGATAATATTTGCACCTCCCTCTTTTAACCCAAAAATATGGCTCGTTTCATTTGAGAGATTTGAGGCATCAATTTCGGGAACATGTCGGAGATGGGAGATCATCAACTTGTTGAATTCGCACATAAAGAAATTATTATTGTCAATAATATGTACACCAAACATCTCAAAGCCTTCCTCTTCCATTTCAAAATCATAATATGAATTTTCAACAAAATCGAAATAAAAAAAAAGGTAATATTTAAATAATTTAAATATAGTTTGCATAAATTAGATATTAAATACACGCACTTTTTTTTAAAAAAAAATTGCAAATTCACTTTTCTTTTCGAAATTGACGTTAAATGTAACTTACAATCAAGACGAACGACTGTGTGAAACTAGCATTCTATTAAAGCCGACCTCTCAATGTCATTGGTACAAAGCGAGGATCATCTTTGAAAAAGAATATCTACTTTTAAGACTAGTTTTTAGAATTACCTTAGACTAAATTATGTTTAGAAAAATCTTTTACACAATAAGTAATTCATTTCATCCCACCAAACATTTCTTTAATTGTTCCTTTTATCAACTTTATATAAAGTAACCTAAAATCATGTGCTTCACGCAATTTCATTACAAAAATGTACTTAACTCAAAAACAAGATGGTGGATTTAGCTCAAACCCCAAAGATAATTTTAGAATTGTAGGATCTTGTGACCAGGGCGGATCCAGGAAAAATTTTAAGGCAAACTAATACGCAAAAAAATAAATAAATAAATTACACATAAAAAATTGTTTTTACTTTAAAATAAAAATTAAAGGTGAATTGGGTTGAGTGGACGAGCTGTAGTACATCCCAGTCCCCCTAGATCCGACAATGCTTGTGATCAAGTCCCTTAAGAATGTGATATCTTCAAAAACAAATTTATTTATTATTTTTGAATGTTTGAAAAATTATTATTATCTTGAATAGATGACTTTAATGAACAAAACTAAAAAAGTCTTTCAAATTAAAATTTAAGCATGTCGAATTGAAGCAATGACAGTATCTAAGATTAGGTAAATGCATAAAAAAAAAAAGAAAAGTAAGCGTAACGTATTACGAGAAATGTTTTAATATGAACACATTGACATCATACAAACGAGTTTCCACGACCAAATATGAATAATATTTTAAAAAATTGTACGATGACTTAGTTAAGCATTTATGGAAGAGTCATATTGCATAATAACTTTCTTAGCCGTGAAGGAATCAAATTCACACCACGACCTTTATCTTACTCTCATAAATAGCTGGGTAATTGGCGCAAAACGTCTCTACCTTTGCATGGTTGTATGCAAATGGTCCTCACCTTTCATTTTTTGGCGCAGAACGTCCCTACCTTTCACATTTTTGGTGCAAAACGTCATTTTCATCTTTTTATGACCATTTTACCCTTCTATTAAAATAAAACAAATAC